AGGTTTCGCTTCTTCAAGTGGGGGGAGGGGGAGACATATCTATGATCAGAACAAATGGCGTTCAGAGCCCCGCCCTGGGAAAGTATGGATTCTAGGTGCTCTTTGTTGCAATCTGTGGCAACGTCTGACCAGTTTAAAAATTCCTCAGTAGTTGAACCAATTTTTCTTTAGCAAACTCCTTTGCAAGATTCGTTTTTATTTTCAAATGATGCCTCTCTTTATAAACTCCATTTTTATGTTGGGTTTCATTGAATCAGCTATTCTGAACAATAGAATAAAATGTAGGCCTACAATTCTTATTTGGGGTCTGGAAGAAAGATGGGTGGGGGACAGATGATGTGATATCCCCCACTTTAAAAAATGGTAGAGGGGAACATCCCCCGACCCCCACTGGTTGATGCTCATGCTGGGGAATTGTAGAATCAGGTAGCAATTGAAATTACAATCTGCATGCAATGGTTTGGATTTGAACACACATCACACAAATTCAAGGTGACTCAAGCACTTCTTCCCCAGTCTTAAACCCACTCTGTTATCTTGAAGTCATTTTTTTTTGAGTCAATATCAACCTAGGTTCTTGCTCTGATTTTATTTATGTGCAGATAGTAAACAGCTCCACCCACATCTACGCGTACAGCTGGTTTAAACCTGTTGTGGAGCTTTGTACACCCCACCCACAACACAAAAAGTGCAGTTAACTGGCAAGAGACCAGTCCTGTACTTGGGAAGTCATGCACTGTCCCACGTTCACCCCTCGAAATCCCAGAACGGGGAAAGGCACACACACTTTTGGGAAGGAAATGGTTTTGTGTCTGCAGGCATTTCCTCCAGAGTGGAAGGGAGGCCATGCATCAGGAGAGCAGGCAGTGAAGACAGATCCATCAAAGTACAGCCAGAACCAGACAGGTCATTGAAGATTCATATGAGCAACTGGCTGAAACTGAGTTTGATTTTGGACCTACATAATATAGCACATACTGAACATGTTTTGCAGCTGATTTTTTTTGGGGGGGTACTATAATGTAACTAATTTCGTTGGCCAATTTTGGGTTTTTATACTTTTACCCTCATATTTAAAAACACACAGGAAGCATTATGTTGAATATATTCACCGCACCTTGTAAGGGTTTCTTGGTTATGTGCTCTTTGTCCTAAAGATCCAAAATTCTAGGTATATATATCCCTGGGAAGATGGCACTTTGTCTTCACAGCCTTAGTATCTGCTGCTCCAGTGTCACTAAACCTAATGACTCAGACTGAATTTGAAAAATGATGCAGGAACCCACCCGTTAATTAAGCCAAAGGTGGTCCATGATCCAGGCTTGTCTACATTCATCCAAACAACCTACTTCAACAAAATCCTTCCACTCCTAGGTGTATTTGACCCTCAACTTTTTCACAAATTAAACCCCAAACTTCAAAAGTTGTGTTTCATTTGAACCTTGCTCCTGTGGTTTATGGTTTCCCTCAGTCAGATTTTGTGACAAAATGTTTGTGGTCTATTGCAGCCATTTAAAAGAAAAAACGGTGTTTTCGACCAAGCAGGACATTTTCAGTTTCAAAAAGTTGACAAAATTCTGTTCTCCAAGTTGGTACCCCTGCCACATCCGCAACTTACCAGTTCATTCTTAGCATACAATAGAACTTGCTACAAGTATTCGCTTCTCATTAGTGTCAATTTTTTTATAATACTGAGTGACACTAACTGTGAACGAAGTGGCCAAAGAAGTTTAAGGGAGAGTGGGGTTGACAACAATGTAAATCAGTGAGCTCCCCAATGCAGTGTGAACAGTAGAGAAAAGGTTACATCAATATACCTGAGATATGTTTGCAGACTGTGATTGAAATTAAGTGGGATTGTGGTCGAAGGAATTTCATGTAATCAATCACTCATCTGGTATTGTTAGGGTGGGGATTGCTGCATGGTTTCTGTACCCAGCCCTGGCAGCTTCCAGATGGATGGGGTATGACATTTCTGTAATCTTGAATCAATTTGTGTATACGTTATTAATTATAGCGAGTGTTTGGGAGGAATAATGCAGTCGGGTGCCTTCCAGGCATTTCACTTCATCCAGGTGACTGGTTAGTCTCTGGCTTCCCCCCCTTGACCTCTCATTTCGTCAGGGTCAGTGGGGGTCGAGCCAGAGCAGCAGGGTTGTGTAGGGGAGACGTCAGATCCGAGTCCAGGGTTTCCTGAAACATGGTCTCTCCTGTGGCAGCTGCCGTTGGTCGGCAAATGTTTCAAGCTCATACCCATGTCAATGGGTTCATGTCCCCAATGTGAGCATAGTTCTAAAGGTGTGCCATGTACAAATAGCCATTAATGTGTCTCCTCATGGTCTGCTCAACATCTCAGACTTAGTCTTATTTCTTAGTTTACAGTCCTCATTTGGTTTGTCAGGTGGGTGTATGGTTATTGTCACTTAAGTATTTTTCATCACCGAATTTGCCATCTATGACCATTGTAAATTTCCTACGTGACGTGCTCCATCTCACAGATTCAAGACACAGTCTTTTGAGTGGATGGAAAGCCTTTTAATGGTACGCAGTCGTAGTGGTGTCCAGTAATTTCAGTTACAATTCATGTTCAACAATTTCAGTCACTTGTCAACATTTTATCAGTCGTGTTTGCAGCCCTGTCTAAAAATTGTAGGAAATGCACAGCTGAGGCAAAGCAGGCAGGCAGGCATAATTGAGCCTTCCGGGCTTCTTCCACCTCCCTGGTTTCTTCCAACCCCCTCCCCCCTTTGAAATCTACTCCACCCCATAAATTCCTGTAAAACCCTGTGATTGCTAACAGTAATACCAGTTTGATTTTATCATCAAAACTAACTCTGCCCTGAAGCATTTAGAACTAATGTGTGAAATCTAAGCCATAACCAGTGTACATACATCTGACATGGCAGTAGCCCTGTCAGAAAAGTTCCCTGCCATGCTTAAAAAGTTGATGTGTGCTTAATTAAAGTTTGCTTTGCGTATAATCTTCTTGTCCGACCTTGATGGCCGTATATTTCCCTCTTGAACCGTCCAACTAAAGTCCATCGACCGACTGACCGCAGCCTATTCAAAAGACTGCACCATTCAATCCTTCAAATCAGGTTTTCCCCCCAATTCAGCTGACTAATTATTGTTAAGTAAAAGCTCCAGTCGGCACAATAGTGTCAAATCCCAAGCCCATTGTGCTGTGTCCGTAGTGCCCGGCCGCAATGAATCTCTCTCGAGGTTTTTGTCCGATTGCAGAGGCAACACAAAAAAAGAAACCTCCTTGATGGCCTGGGGCAGCAATGAGCCCAGAAAATATAAGCCTTGTATCAGTCTCGGGAACTCTTAAAAGGGCAAGCACTGCATAATCTTGTAAATGCTGGATTTTGTTCGCTCTCTGAAACTAGTCACCTCACTGCAACAATACCTCACAAAACCTCAAAATTTACATTAGTACAAGATACTCATATGGAAGTCTTTTGAATTTTGCATGTCAGTGTTCCATTTAAAGTTCATTTCCATCCCAAAAGTTGCCACTGATCTTTTTTCTTCTGGGGCAAATTTGTTTTGGGGGGGGGTTTGGAGTGGAGGGAGAGGAGGTTCATGTACTTTTCTCTTGGCCTTTGCTTCATCTAAACTACCACTGCCCCACCCCCCAACAGGGTTTGTATGACTGGAAAATCCTATGATTCTGGAAAAGTCGACAGAGCTGAAACCTGTCAAAATGGCCAAGGTGTCATTAAATCCTCCATAGAAACTTTGCATTCAAACCAAAGCATGTGTGATTGATATTTTAACACCTTCATCATTTGGCACCAAATAAAAAGGAGACCCAAAAATTAATGACCATGTTTTTCTTCCGTTTGTGAATTCTATGCATGCATTTTCCCTTTTCCCTGTATACAGCTTATCACTCATCACCCCCTCCCAGTCTTGGCAGTATGCAGGAATTTTGATTTTCACACACCTTGCAAATTTTGTCTGATTACCTGTGGCATTTTCCAATTCTTTAGCTGTAAATAAGGGTCGTTAGCAGCAGCACATTCACCATGGCTTGAAATCTTGGAACAATGGCAGTTGCAGAGAGGGAGAAATAGGGGAGGAGTTACAGGCAGGGCCAGTGATCGGGTTCAAGCTCAGAAGGGCAGGAAAAGCTTCTGCTGGATTTGGCCAGTGTCATAGGCAACTGCCCTTTGGCTTCACTCCACGGGTCGAAATGAATACCAATCCAGAGTGGACTAGGTTGAACTAATGGGTTGAAGTCTTCCAGAGGTCTCCTGCTCTGTACTTTAAAGCAAAAGAAACCCACTCCCAGTTTCTGCAAGTAGCTGCCAAGGTGCTCAGAAAAATACAAGATATGCACCATTTCCAACCACAACAAATCCTGCCTTGCCATGCTTATCGTGCACAAACCACAAAACCCATGGTTCCTCTCTCTATTTTCTTTCACAGTTCCATGAGAGAGAAGGAAAAAATATAGAAGGTAGTTTTTATATTGATGAATTATCACACTAGTAGGTTTGGGAACCCTGAGGGGACTGTTCCTGAACTGTCAGTGTTTGGGAGCTGGTAATTGTAGCGTTTAATCTGGCAATAATCAGAGAGTGACCCGGTGGCAAGTCGGAAGGTCTGGACATTATTGATTTGTTCTCCATGCCTTTGTTTGGTGGTTTGGTTCTTGAGGTTTGTCGGAAATATGATATTTTTCCCCTGGATATAACGTAATGATAAGAAAATGGGTCTTGAATTATGACTCAGTATTTTGGGGACATATGATTACGTATGAAATATGGTGAGGTATTTTCTGTTGGATTTGGAAATGTAATAATGGACGAGACAGGACATTTATGCTCACTTTGCTAATTACTCATTAAACAAGTGTTTTAAAAATTGTCAGTCAGCTGGATTGGAGTTCAGACTTCAAACCCCCTACACCGTACTCGCTACTTAAATTTGATAGTCACCTGTTAAAATAACTATATGATAAAAATTTTAAGTTCCCTGAAATTGTTTTCCAGGACAGGACAGCACATGCTGACGAAGTTGTACATGAATTGAAGGACCGATCCTGAATAACGAGGTAAGACCAAAGGCAGTTTGCTTTTAAGTTTACTCAAGAACAATGGTAAACAAATACATGTAATGCCGTGATTGGGAAAACTATTAGGGGGCCTATGGATGGCATTTTTCAGCATGTCACACCAAGGTTTTTTGATGTGAAGAAAAATAAATGAAAAATTTGTCTGAAACCTATATTTTGGTGTGTTGTGTCATTTTTCTATATGTGTGAGTAGATTTGGAGAGGAACTATTAGCATACAGATAATGTTGGGGGCAAAAATGAAGAGATGAGAAGAATGATGGAGGTGAAAAATGACAGAATAAGCATGGATGAAAACGCTCAAGCTCCAGCACTATAGTTCATTTCCCAAGAGGTCAGATGGGTTTTGTCTCCCTTGTTAAATCTCATGCAGTTGGCAACACTAGGCAGATTTTCCTGTTGTTGAGGAAAGATGGATTGGGGAGTAGTGGGGCAAGATTTGCTCTCTGTTGTGACCGGGTTCAAATCCAACTTGGCTCAGCCAAGTTGACGTCTTGGTAGCCGTTGGACCACTCTCTTTTGCCATTGCAAAAGTACTTCAGAAGCAGAGGGGTGAAAAGACACTGCATGATGGTTAAAAAATGACAAACACTGTGAATGTGTGAAAAAAAAGTAGATTGGTTCTTCTCTCGGTATGAGTTTGAGTTGTCAGATTGTCATCATGCCTGATTGTTTGAAAAATTGCCCATCAGACATTTCAACCTAGGCACTTTCAAAGATTCTTGAAGTAAAATTATACATCGGCCTATTTATCCTTGAGACGAATTTATCTGACTGTCAACAGTCTCATCAACATATGTGGGAAACAGAGAAAAAAAAAATCAATCTGCTTGGGAAGCATCCACAGGCTCAAGGTAGGGGGAAAACCACAAAATCGTCTGTCCATAAAGGCCATCAGGCCAGTCACCTGCAAATAGCCAGGACACATTGTGGTGCTCTTCCAATCTGTCTCCTAGCAGAGCTAATCCATCCTGGGCTGTTGACTGCAAACAATGGAGGACGTTAGTGCCCAACAAAACAGACAGATAAAAAAGATCTAAGAAGTACTGTCGTCCCGGGTATTGTGCCATTCTCTGGACAGATTATAGTCCTTTTGTTTCTGAAGAAAAGGTAGACAGGAGAGGTGAGGGAGATGCTTCTCTTTTGTGGGGGAGAATAGAAAAGTCGCCGACAAAGTTGATGGCTGAAATCTGGAAACCCCTGTAATGGTCGACGCGGCCCACTTTGATTTGGTTCTTGAAGGTTCATCCCGGCATATGTATGATTCATTTGATGCCGATGAGGTGGAGTGTAGTGTTACAACAAACCTCACTCCCAGGTGGGGTTCAAGCACCTTGTCAATAACCCTTAATTGGAGAGCTGCAAAAAAAAAAGATCCAGAAATACCCAGCATGTACCCTTCCCACAGAAATGATGGTCATTCTACAGGAAGTGGTCCTGTTGTGTAACAGATGAGACACAGTGAAAACTTGGTTTCTGGAGAAGAGTTGAACGCCATAATAGATGGTACCACAGTACATTGGGGGTATTGTCTAAGTATTTTTTTCTTTCTGTTTTGCTGGCTTTGCATCTAACTCCTAACTAACTCCTTTCAGTAACATATTGAGGTGGTCAACCACCTCAATCCTGGCTTGTGCCAGTTCAATATGAAGTTTGTGAGGCAATAAGTTTGACAAAACTGTGCATCTCCATAGCTGAAAACTAACATGCTGACAAGTTTGAATTGTCTTTGTGAAGTTTGAATTGTCATTCGAATGTGTCATCAACTGTATGCTATTAAATGATCCTTAATGTCCAAGTGCTAAGCTCATGAGTGCAAGCTCGTTTGGGAAAGAAAACCTGTTTGTTGTGGACATTTGTCAAATTTTGTCAAAACTATCATTAACTAGAGCTTTTGTGATGATGATGGCGAAACCTGTTTTTTTTTCAGGGTTGAAGTATTTTATGGACTAGCCTTTGGGGAAGCTAGCATTTTGGGAAGCTGTATGAAGTTGAAATGTAGCGATATTGACTACTTATTTGAATGGACTGACAAATCCAATAAAATCTTCTAACAGGCAAACACAATTGTAAAACTGTCATCGACAAATGCATTTAACCAGCATGCCTTCTTCTGTGCATTGACTTGTTTATAACACAGGCTTGTCAACGAAACAAAACTTCTTGAATCTCTTGGAATAGACATGCCGCAATTCTCATGACAGAATGTCTGTTTAGAGTATGATGCATGTTCATTCCAGCAGGGTTCAAGTGGCCATTGATGATAGATTCTTGGAAGATCTGTCCAGTCAGTATTTAGGGTCTTGTTATTTATCTTGCGGGGGCAAAAACTCACATAGCACAGCCTTCATCGTTCATTTTATCATGTCAACAAGAAGCGGTAAAGACTAAAGTATCAAGAGTATCAGAAAGAGACTGAGGTTCACAATCATTTATTACTCAAGTGGAAATATGTTTGGAGTTCACTCAGGTTCCCTTTTCAATACAAGTAACCAAAAGGTTTTTACGACCATGCAACCATGGTGAATATTTTGGAAAAGTAGTGTAAATTTACGAAAGTGGAATTTGCACTTTTAGCGTTGTGTGATAAGAGGTGGCTTAAAGGTGTCTCTATGAGATCCACCCCACCCCAAAAAACCCCAGAATATCTTGAACCATGCATCTCCTACACAGTCCAGTACCATCCTACATCTCTAATGAGGCATTGTTACATTACAAAGCCAAAATAATACCAAAATGGTGGTGGAGTATGATGGGCCATTTACCAGGCAATGTACCTTGAAACCAGAGGGTTTTAACACCTCAGGACACAACAGTGCAAGTGCATGCCCAATTAAATTGAGTGTGGCTCATGAATGCACTGGCATAGGCAGTTTGACTGAGACAGTATGGGTATGGTTGCTGGGCAACTCTCAAACCACAATCCACACTGGCAGAACATGGCTGCTATTTGTCATCGCATTCCAATCGAATGACTCGTCCAGATCAGTATTTAAAAAAAACAATCCGAGCCTGAAGCTGCTTGGACCAGTTGCTCTTTGCTGCACCCTTTGAGCAGTAATTATAAATTAACTGTGTTATTTCACAATGACCATGGGAATAGTATCAGCTTCAGTGATCTGCCAAGGAGGAATTATGCATGCCCAACTTGATAAATTGTCAGCAGGGTTCACTTTGGTTGGGTCATGTTATCTTTTGCGGCCATATTAATGGGATTTGGGGGCTTTGCTGACAATAAAAGGAGAACAAGTCAGTTCCCAGAATCTTTATGATTCTTTTTGTTGAGAGCAGAGCAGAGTTTTCCAAACTTCATCATTCACAGGGACAGTTGACCTGGGTTTCTGAGGCTGTACTTTTTCCCCCCTTTTTTTCCCCGGGGACCTTTTCCTGGTGAGTAGGCATGTTTTATGAATTGTGGATATTTATGTTTTACACAATACACTGCATGCTCAACTTAGTCAAAAAATGCTGTAATTGTTGCCCTACGAAATTCAAAGTCCAACCAAATAAAAGCGCACCCAATAGTGTATTTCAGTTGTATTGATGTGTGGATTGGAAGTTCTCCCGTCATTAGCCCCCCCCCCCGGTTTCCAAATGAGGCCCTACCCATGTAAACTTGAGGCCAGCATGTTGGACTGTTACATGTATAAGAGGGTCACATGATAGTTGACCTAGATTATAGTTTACCTCAGTTTTACTGCAGATGATGGTGGTGCCATTCCTGCCTGTGCAATTCTCATTTTATTAAGCCACTGCAAATTTTCTGGGCTTCTAGGAGAGGATAGGTATTTTTTCCCTTTCCCCTCCAAAAGTGGGTGTGTAGAGAGGATAGTACCTGTACACCCTGATGAACACTGATCAGGTACATGTCTGTAGAACCTACCCTTATGGGTGTGTAGAGAGGATAGTACCTGTAAGCCGTGATGAGCACTGATCAGGTACATGTCTGTAGAACCTACCCTTATGGGTGTGTAGAGAGAATAGTACCTGTAAGCCGTGATGAACACTGATCAGGTGCATGTCTATAGAATCTACCCTTATCCCAGTTTCTTTTGATACCATATCAACATTGGCAACACGTTAAATCATACATAGACCTTGCTTTGAAAATGGCTAAGTTGTGGAGAATAAAGAAAATGTACTAAATAATGTACAGACACAAGTCCCTGTTTGTGTGGGAAAGCACAAGTACAAGTAGCCCAAGTACTGGGACCCAGACGGCTGCTACATGAAAGGTCATCAATAACTCCCTCCTCCAGACTCCTTTAACCCCACCCCCTCTTCTAAATTTATCTGTTGAATGGGTCCCTTCCAGGGTCATACGTGTACTTATCTGTTAGGCCTATAGTCAACCTTTTCCTCGTTTCTCTTAATTTCGTTTCTTTAGTGAATGATTAACCACAACAATGATACACAAGTAACAGTGATTTCTGCAAGAAAACAGTCCAAATACATGCATTTTTCTTTCAATTTCAAAAATGTTTTAATGGTTTCAACAAAAGTTGGACACTGTATCCCAACAGACATAAATACACGTTATAAATTAAAAAATGGGAATGTGAAATTAAGCATCAGAAACCTTAATAATTTACAAAAAAAACTAATACATTCGTAACATTGATCTCCCAGTGAATGAAAAAGCCAAAATGCAGTATAAAGTCCAGAGTGAATGTATACTGCAGCAGCAGTTAACCAATATTTCCTGTCTTGCATATTCTCTTTACAAATCTCCCTTGAAATGTCTCGACTAAGGAGAGTGAGCCTCTCAATTCCCTTTGCACCCTGTCCTGCAGCCCAAAGTTGCTGCCGGGTCCAAAATAGATAGGGGTCAGATGTCAGGAGTAATTCATTTTGATGTGTGGTGAAACAGTGACCAGTCCCATTAACAGGCATCAGACACTGCAGAAAAATATAAACAACCCCCACACACACATACAGTTTTCACTAGAACCAATCTAATGACTGTTTAATCCCCATGGGTCCATCAAACTTAATTTCTAATGGATGGGGGGGGGGGCAAACACTCCGCCCAGATATGATGGGCGACATCCCACCACAAGTGCAATTTACAGCCCCCAGCAGTGTCAAAGGAACATATGTTCAGTGTTAGCTTGCGTGGGGCCTCCAGAATGGGGTATGGTATGTGTGGTCCCAGTCTGAACAAACTACAGCAGGACAAGAACAGTTACTTTTCAAAAATTCCAAACAAAACACAGCACAAATTATGAAACAACCCCCTTGTGGCATAGTGGGATCATTTTTATGAGGAGTTTCACCCTAAATCCATTCTAGACAGAAAGCACAGAATGTATTGAAACGAAATGATAAAAATAAAACCCCAAAATTTGGAAAGTTGATGCGTGTGTATCTAACACAAAGAAAACAAGTACAATAGGTGCACTTAAATGAGCCCATCCTTACGTATTTATACTCACTAAAACTTAAGCAACACATTCACCACTTCAACTCATCTCTTCTGTGTAAAAAGGCCTCATTTTTACTTTGTACATTCCCCAACCGCTCATTTATCTCTGTTAAATATCAAAAAGTACCAAAACATATTGTAAAATATACATCTGTGATATAAAAGACAAATCTCAAAATATATAATGAAAATACGATTTCGGCCGTGTCACAGTTGAGGACCCCTGCTGTACTCCGATATGGAAATTTTGATTCTAATATATGCAGTGGTTTCGTTTCAGATGGAACTGTGAAGTCTGCGATTCTATCAACATACAGATGTAAAGAGAATTGCTGAACTGATCCTCTTAAAATGTACACCTTTTATAAAATTCCCATTGTACAGCTCGATGTAAAACCATCCGAACAAGAGTAAAATAAACATGTTTTTAAAGGAAGACAGATGTCCATGTGCTAACCAAATGCAGATTATCAGAACTAACGGCTGAGAGTGGGACAGTGTTCAAGGCCTGCTGAATCAAAGTTCCGTTATTTACATCAATCAAATAATCCACCAGGGAAAAACACATGTACCATAATTGAGAGGACACATTTGAAATACTTAGGCTTACCCTGCACATGGTGTTCATTTGTGCATGTATTTGGGAAAAAAAGGATGCAAAGGGTGCATTGCTGTAAGAGAAATGACATTGTTCACTCTCACAGCAAGCCTCGTGGAAAGCACCTAACAGTTTGAATACATTTTACATGCCTGTTACCAACTGCTAGCATGCCTTGTTGGGTGAAGCATTACATACGTGATGTACTTCAACAGCAGTAACCATCTCCATTCGTCCAAAGGTAGGAAAAACACCTGTTGACCTCTGCACCTGTTAACCCCAACCTTACTGATTCAGCATGGATAAACCAATTGGAAAAAAAGAAGTTATATTTACATAAAACTTTGTACATTCATTTCTGGTATTTTATAGAGTGGAGAATGTTCAGGATAGTAGTTTGCTGAACATGCACAGCATGTTTCTTTCCAGTCATATTTACATCAGTTATTCAAGTGTACATGTGGTTCCCAAATAAGTTAGTTGATTGGCTTTCCTGCATATTATTGGACACTTGAAATACCTTCGGAAAGTTAGTTGATGGGGCTCGATTTACAAGGTTTGTCAGCAGAGTGTACAGTCTGGTCCTCCCAAGACCTGTTGTGGTTTTGCTGGTAAGTGTCCCATGTGCGTGCCTCAGAGAGAACAGGCTGAGCCCCCTCAAGGAGGCCGTAGGAGGTGTGATTTGGTGAGGTCTGCTGCTGAGGGTACTGGTAGGTTGCAGGTAGCGTAGACACTGCTGAGGGACTGTTTGGGTTGTTGGTGTAATAACCTAGCTGAGCTTGTGAAGGTTGGTGTGGGTAGTCGAAGGACTGACCAGTCATGGAGGGGTACTCCGCTGCATATTGATGCTGCATGCTGTAGTCGTAGGGTTGGACCTGGGTTGAGGTCGGTGAGGCTGTGTAGTGGTGGTCCGGTGACAGCATCGCCTCCTCCAGCTTCAACTCACTGGAGACTGAGATCTGAGATGCCCCATGCCTGTTGAGCCACTGCTCGGATCGCCCAATGTTCTGGCAGACATTCATCATTGAGTAGGTGCTGCACTTGGGACTGTTTGGTGGTGGTACCTGTTGGTGTTGTCCATGGGCAGAGCTTGTGACCAGGTAGCGGTCTAGATCCTCATTGATCAAGCCATCCATGTTGGCCATCATGTCGCTGCTCAGGTCGCGGATGTCCACACCCACTAGATCAACCGGCAGTTGCTGGTGTGGACGCTCCCCCTTTAGCTGAATATACTTCATGCGCTTCTGGGGAGGCTGACCGCTCAGGCGCTCGGCTTCCTCTTTGGGCGTGGTGGGTGGAGTTGGAGGACCTGTCTGCTGAGGTTGAGCATGCATGGCGTACCGCTCACCACCATCCTCCCTGGCTGCATCACCAGGAGAGCGAGAGCCCTTGCACACGGTGGCCTCGGAGGTCAGAGGGACTTTGCTGGGTTTGTTCTTGTTGCGGCGTCTTGGCTGGTACTTGTAATCAGGATAGTCTTTCTTGTGTTGCTGACGAAGTCTCTCTGCCTCTTCAATGAAGGGCTGCTTCTCGGGCTCTGACAACAGTCTGACAACGGAAGAAAAGACAAATTACAAGACAAATTCTTGTCAAGTTCTTCGAAGGTTTGGTCAAGAGTTCATATCCATAATCCATTCAGACGCCTAAGACATACAGTTAATAACGTGTAGCGATTACAACTTCTGTTTAAGTGCCAGCACCAGACAGCAAATTTTCATGTCTGACCTCCATTTTTCTCTTTCGAAAAATGTAGGGATTACTAACCTGCAAGGACACTGCACTTTTTTAAAGGTGTTCACCTTGACTTCAAGCTTCAGTGCGCGCGAGAGAGGCCCGCGTCTGCTGTTGAGCAGGTTTTCATATTGTGACTCGCAAAATTCTATCAATCAGTTGAAGGGGGCTTCGTCAGTAGCCCATGAATTTTTACTTCATATGCCAACAATTGCGACTTTTTTTGGAATGGTTAGAATTTCCAAACTTCGGAGAGCTTTACCGGAGTTTATGACCGAACTGATAGCTTCCCTTTATTGTAAAATCTGGTGACTGACAGGAGCTCACTCTAGTGCCCTCAAGCGCGTCACTGACAAAAAGATGCGAGAGTGAATCGCATGTACCGCCGGCGATACCTTTCAAAAGGAAAATTTGTATACCCTTCAGCTCGAAACCATTATTACAACGTTTCGCCGGCGAAGAACGTCGAGCAGCGTTAGGACAGGATTGTTCGTTATCAAAACGTAGTCAACTTCAGGAAATGGTCGGATGGTCGCCTCTACCAGGCATGCCAGACTTTCGACAGCCAGTCGTGCTTGGTAAAATTTTGTTGATAGTTAATCAAGTAGGAAACATCCTCTTAAAATTGGGTAAGGCGTGATACACACGAGCTACCACCAGCAAGCGTCAGGCCTGGGGTTTAGGAGTTATATCGGGTTGCAGTTAAAGTTTATGTCAAGGAGTGGTTGATGCTTATTTTAAGACAGTGTTTAATGTTGCGCAAGAGTAACCGCCGATTGACTTTCATTTTACTCAACTACCAAGACGGTGCGTGAATTTGTTAACCACGTTACATCCACACCATGATAGCCTACAGTCTGACAGTAGAGCAAGGTATGAATGGTCTGTACGTGCCAGGTCGGTCTGGGACATGTAGGAAGGAGGTTAGGTGAGCCTTGTCCAACCAGGGTATGGTATAACCATGAATGGTTCAAAATATTCGGGGGTTCTATTGTTGAAGCAACGTGTAACATAGTGCGTTCCAAAGTGCAAGTTGTAAATCACTGTAAATGGAATTTCTTCACCACTTTTCACGCAGCTCATTGTCTGGCTGACGTCAGCATTGTAAAAAAAAGTGAAGATTTGTTTGGTCGCAGTAATTGGCTATGTGTTGCTTCAATGCTTGTTACTAAAATGTTAGTTTAACCGATTGGCCTATAAGTTAGCACAGATTGACTTGGAGAAGAAAAAAGTCAAGCTTGTCATGCTTGTTAAAGGAATATGATCACGGACGATAGAGCTGGTGCTTTCGTGCTGTACAGATTAAAGATACCGCCCGCGCGTTTCAATTTAATTTTAAAAGCTTACAACATAGTTTCAGAAATAAACCAATGGAAGAAAAAAATCTTGTTCCTAAGATCAAGCGATACTTTCTTAGTGTTATTTGGGACCGCATAATGAATATTCTTGCAGTGTTACTCACTTCCATAATCTGCCAAGCGTCTTGCTCAGTTCGGCGTTGTGCAGGTGAGGGTGCTGATCGGCCAACTTCTTCCTCGCCGCCTGGGCCCACACCATGAATGCATTCATGGGTCGCTTGATGTGCGGCTTAGCGTTGGGGTTGCCAGCAACACGCGTGGGCATCGGCACAAGGGACCAGTCGTAACCCTGGAGCACACGGGACACGGCGTCGCGGATGGACGGTGGGAAACGGGGGTCCAAACTGGACGGGGTCTCGCCAGAGGTCGCGGTGTCAGACTCCGACCCGGACTCGCTGCACCCAGGGCTAACCGGGCCGTCGCTCCCCCTGGATAGAGGCCTCTCCAGCTCTGTTATCTGGACATTCATTTTCAGCATCGAACCGGTTGTGGTAGGTGATACAGGTTTGTAATAATACTGTGCCAGTCCGATGTAATTCGTGTCTTGAGGTGAATGGTTATGACTCATGTATAGGTTCTCGGTGGCTTTTATCTGACCGACCGAACCGACCGCCTCAAGTTAGTCACTACTTCTCGCTCTCTACACAGCGTTCGCTTGCTGTTCATGCATTGTTGGATCGTTTATTGACATACAATTAAGGAAACAAGACTGCAGCGAGCGTTCTAATTCGATCGAGCTTGTACCCTATCCGTCTGGCTGGGTGCGCACTTTAACACCCATCGTGGCCGGTACGTAATGTGATTGGCCGCTCGCCAACACATGCTTGCTGATTGGCCGGTTGTTATATCTGCGGTGATTTCCCATTGAAGAAGTGTTGCAGTGCCGCTGAACGCGGACTCGTTAAACACACCGAGTCGACGATGTGTAATTGTTCGGCATCATTGCAGACCGAGACGTACATGTACAGAAGGCATCTGTACGATGTACATGTGCATGTATGTTTATGTTACCTAGACTGTAGAGAAGTGTCCGGCTGGCAGTTAGAAGCCGTGCATACTGGGAGATAATCTGAACGAAATAATTTCTGTGAATTGTTCGAACACTGCCCAACCACATTTTTGCTTTATACAAAGTGGAACTCAGTCATCAAATAAGATATGACTTCTTATAAGTATCCAAAATAAACACAGGCCTATAAATCATTGTATTTATACAAAGACTACACGTGAGCGCTGTTTATTCCTTAAGGCCAATAAAAAAAAAAATTGATAAATAGTGGAACTAAACCTTCGCCTCAAACACACTGTTTTAAATGAAAGTGTTGCCCTCATTCGGTTGGAGATGTACAGTGTATCTCATAAAAAATCCCACTGTCCGGGAGCTTTAAGTTACTCCCAATTGGCCTTTTCCCCTTGCCGTGACTTGTATGCCATGCCACGGTCAGGACGACATAGTCGTATTATCAAGCCTTTTTTGTCATCGTGCACTTCTTAAACGGCGGAAATCTGTGGGGGCTGTTCTCCGCCTCTCAGCCGACCAAGTGCCACTTTCATGAAGCTTTTTGAAGGAAAGCTATTTAGAGACATTTGCAAGCTGCGTACAGCACGTTTGAAGCTCCAAACTTTTGCCGCCACGAAAGAAAGTGAATCACAGGTCCAGCAAAATATATGAAATAATAGTTCTTAGATTGAATGTATTTTGCTTCTTGCCACCAATTCAAATAATTTCTTTACTTAACTGAAATTATGAGCAATATCCGCTTTCAATAGAACAAGCTAAATTACTCATGTCATGAGGGGATTTAATGTTCTTTACTGAACTTAAATTTAATTCACAGTTTTGGAACTTCAATTCTCTGAGCTTCCCACGAGAATTACCGAGATAGTGTGAATGCATGCGGTTTAAACTGGTCCCTTAATCAACCTCGTTCCGCGCCCAGACTTAAGTGGCACTCATCGATCCAGCTTTTTACCCTTGTGGCATTACCTCATTTTACCCACAAATGACGTCACCGGCCCTGCCAAAAGTTCTCTGACCATGCTCAGACACAGGTTAATAACACCACACCATAGTAAAAAAAAAAAGCCTGAGAAATGGGCTTGGTATCAGCAGGACTGAATCCACGTTGCTCATGCTCCATTTGCCTTCATTCTAAATTTTTGGTCATTCCTCCATGGCCAAACTTACAGTGTTCGTGTTACTCACGCGTCAACGGAGTTGATTCTTGTGGAAAACCTGGACACATTATACTTCATACGTGGAGTATTCACCAGTGCAATTCAACTCCGCCGTTTCTTATTCCTCCATGACTGTACTGACTCATTTCCACAGAATGACCACAGATTGCCTGTCGCGAAATTAATCCTTAACCAACAAACAATAAAGAACGCTCAAGACAAACACGGTAGTTAAAATGGGTCGGGGATCAAGCACTCGTTTGACCTCGCTTTTAGGATTTGGGTGCAATGGTCCAATGCATTTACAGCAGTACCACGCCTAATATCAGTGCCCGTGTCCCCACAAGGGCCGTGTACAAGTGCATGCACATGTACATGTACATGTACATATGTACTGTATACATACGAACATGTACGCGCATTGTAGTCAGAGATGATATGCATGTACATGTACAGTACTTACTGTTATACATGTATGCGGATGAACGCGTTTGCATGACCGCTTGACTATGTCTTTTACGTTGTTCATGCACACGGAGGCTAAGATTTTCTAGACACATTAAAAAGAGCAACCAAGACATCCGCTTAACTGTTGCCCTCCAGGGTGAACCAGGAAGAGCAGTGCAGGTGCAATACACTCTAAGATTCAACCATTCACAGGACGGGTAGCATGGCAGTTCCCGCTGCTTTTAATGCTCGGCAACCTTTTTTTGACTCACCGGGCCTTCTAAGTTGTGGTTCTCAGGCCACGCAGTTGCGGCAAGTTACAATGAAAGACCAAAGGGCGAGACAGCTACTTGTAAAATGCAGTACAATTGTCTTCGCTTTTGTGAAGCCGCGGTCTGCTGTTGGGCCATATGCTCTGGGTGAACGCTTCAAACGTTTCGCACGACAGTGCTGGGTCGCTTTTCGCTGGAAATCGAAAATTGGCTCAACGGGTAGCCGGCAATTTCAATTATTGTGACCGAGTGGGCTCAGACTTCAAGGGGGCTTGACGTGTGTTGGGGAAATACTCCCTTGCCCCAGCGGACAATAGCACTGTGCCTTGAATGTGGCCATGCAGTGCTATGAGTTGCACCCTTGAATATTTTTAACATTTACAAATCCAAGATTTACTCAAAGTTATTCCCTACATGAGTACAATGAGAACATTCCATGTCGTTGAAGGAGACTCGAGAAAGTTTTGAATAGAGCCCGTGAAAGTAAAAGATCACCCAGCAAGCTTCCGAAACCCTCGCGCGGTCCGCCTTTGGGGATTTTACATTGGGCATCGGGCCGTCCTATCACCTTCGATAATTTTTGGAAAAATAGTTCCTAACTGAAACCACCCATGAAACACTCACGTTGGAATTTTACCTTTGTCTTCCTCAAGTAACATTTAGGAAAAGTCATCTACAGATGGGTAAAAAACTGATTTCATTGACGACCTTCATGTCCGGCGATATCGTAGGCTACTTAGGCCTCCTTGTGCACGTTTGTTTTCACTTCCCATGCTTATACATAAAAAACGAGAATGTGTAACGCTGCAAAGATTTACCTACCTTTAGTCGATGGGTTCCAGATTCCGTTGAGTTGACATCACGCAGTTGTTGTCAGCAAAGGCTAGGTAAAATATTTGAATCTTTCGCGAAAATAGATTATTGCCTTAAGTTTATTACCTTATGAATTAAAAAAGTCAGTAAAATATTTTGATCTATTTTATTTTGGCTTTTACCGACAGATTACTATAAAAGTTCAAACCGTAAATGTTCATCTGCGTACGAGACTGCCACTTGAATTGTTATTCATATAGGCCTATTTTAGATTTTTGGAAAGTGATGGGTCAGTTTTTGGCAGGATATTTCTCTTTCAGGTCAGGTGATTTTCAGTTTCTATAAATTGATAAACTAGCAAATACTTTCCAAAGCCCCTTTTCCAAGTTGGATTTTTAAAGGTGTAACTGAGGGAAGAATATTACAAATTCTAACATCATTGCACGTTATTTTTCCTATCCAATGGTTCCGGAAGCGCACCATCAGGGGTCAACTTTCGGGGTCAACTGTAAGGCTCAATTCTTTATCATCAGTTATTTGTGGTTCCTTAAATGTACGTGAGTGACGTGTAAAATCTAGGCTTCCTCGTTCTTCTTGTAGCACATAGCTACGGTGTATTTGGGCGTAAGCAGTGTATTTTAAAAAGTCCGCGGGCTCTTGTTTCTACAAAAAGTACAAGCCCTTACATTTCCAGCAGATGCTGGAAAGTGGTATATAGGTTTGAACCATTCTATTTCGATGGACAATGATCATTTGATTTCAGTAACTTCAGTAACATTTACCCCGAGCAAATCTGATATGACGCATCTTGAAGTATGTAATTTCATTAAGAAGAGTTGACATTGAAAATGTTTGGCGTCATGCATGCGTGGGAAAACACTGAACATTCTGATGCATGTTTAGTTTTCCTGAGCAGGTATGATTTATGTTTACTTTTTTTTTTCTTTTTTTTTTTTGATGGACCGGGTAGGTTGGTTTTTTGTTGTTGTTGTATGGTTGCTTCAACCATGGGTGTCACTCGACAAGTAGTTGGAAGAATTTGCCGGTCCACAGCCTGAGCGTGTTTCGAATGGTTTCGTCATCCTTTGCAGCAGTGAAGTCCGTCCACTTTGCTGCCGATCGAATCAGAGTGGTGGCTGTAAACTGGACATTGTGTCCGGCTCGGATTTCTTAAGAAGGAAACGACAAATCGGGAAAATTGCAAAAAAACCTCTGGGCAGTTATGGTCTGGTAATTGCTAAACCATTCGCGACGGAGGGGATTAAAAGTAGTCACAGAGGCCGCTGCCAATGAAGTGTCCCATCCTTCCCACAGTAAAAAAAAGTATAGACATTAGTACAACCGTTTTCAAATTTCAGCGGAAGTCACCGGATGATGTCTGTCCTTGGTGTCCTGGGTGCCTATAATTACATAATGAAACGTGCTGTAATTTGCCTCACATCGTCCCGACCTCGACCACGACAGGCCCGGTTGGGAGTCGACAACTTTTCAGACCACCCCGAAATGCTTCACTGCTTGCTCTCCCCGACCAGTGCGTTAAACACAAAATATAAATAGGCTCATAACCCAGTTGTTGGAACACAAGATTTTTTTTAGTTACAGTGACCGTCTATCTACATTGAAAGCATGCGAGTCCGTATGCGTCGTTGCAGTGTCTATAGACCTTTTACAGTGATGTCACGATCTGATTTGTCGTTATGGTAATGAGTGCATAGTGTTGCGATGGGATGCACGTCGTTGAAGCTGCCCGTAGGAATATATACGATCACCGTGGCCAAGGCGGTCCGCACGTGGTGGTATTGTATACATTTAGTCACTTGGGTAAAAAAGGTTTATACATAAAAGATGGATTCGGTTATAAGATTTGAGCAGTCCGTAAAAGCATAGAGGGATCTTATTTCATGGTAAAATACCCCAAACCATTATCTTGTGCATTTGAGACCATCCATAACACTTGAAACAAGATAAACGATTTTTAAATTTTTATTTATTCATTTTTTCGATACCTTTCTTTACTTTACCAACTTACCCAGCCATCCGTACAAAATTTGGTCAGAAGGCGCGGTGTAACAAATTCCCCCACTAGGCCATCAAAAACAATTATTCCAACAATTAGTCAATTTGAGGAGAACACCCAACGAGATTTTACCTTTTTGTGGCTGGAGGTTTGCGTTGACAATACCCTTTCCGCTCTGCCGACCCTGGTAACAGGTTGCAATAATGGTGGTAATTAACAGGCCGTTTCGCCCATGCAAGTGTTTATTTGATTGAGTTTGCCGAGTGGCCCGCGAGCTGATTAGACGCGGTGATAATCGCATCAAGTCGGGCAGAAATGTGAGGGTGGGATTGGTGACACCCACGGACGGGTGAAGGTACGAGGTCTGGGTATAAGAATGGTTATCGCTTTTTGCTGAGGGCAACTTGAAGTTTGGTTGAGTCATTTCCGTCTACAGAAATGACTTTTTGAATAGCTTTGATTTAACCATTCGGTTAAAATAATTCCAGTAATGTTGTATTGTTTTACATATACAACTGCAGACATATTGAAACGACTTGTAAAACTCTGACAAGTTGTAAAACACAAAGAATAATCATTGTGTTACAGTAAAAAAAAAGACAGCAAACTATCAAAATAAATCAATCTTATTAAAACTCTGCGTTGATTCTCAGAGGTTGCTTACAGTGTGAGCTCATGCAGTACTATGTATTTTAGGGGAACGCCAAGATTTGATTATGAACAGATATTTTGTACCGGTACTTCCAATCTCAGGGCATAGTGCATTAAATTCTTGTGAGTTTCACGGACCTGAGCAATTTTGTATTAAAGTTGTAGTGACACAGATGCATGCGAAATGTTTTTCGGAGTCCTCATTGATTTTACTCGATGGAGAAATTCCACAGATAGATTTGTCGTCTCTTGTAACTCTGTACGGCGGACACCATAGCATCTCGAACTCCATTGACATGAAATTCTACACTTTTGAGCAATAGTGCGCGTGCAGTTACAGACTTCCACGCGAGTAGGGATTACTGATTTGTAAACCAGACACAAAAGACACTTTCATTGACAACAAACCGCAGAAACAAAAGAATGAAGCTGACCAAAAGGTGCGCGCGTGTGGCACGAATTGTCCGTAATTAAGACGGGAATTTATAATCATCCTGGATGGTTTCCTATAGCCATTATGATTACCTGATCTACAGTTTGCCGGACTTTTGATTAAACTGGCAAACGTCGATCACTCCTGTTTGCCTGCATTTCAAATTACACCTAGTTAAAGTTACTTGAAACACAACCGAGTTACTGTACTTTTTTTAAACAGTCAGGCATTGGAAACTATCACCCTTTTATCTTTACAGTTTTGCGGAGTGTGTGTGTGTGGGGGGGAAGTTTGTAGCTAAACCTTCTTGGGTTGTCTTCATATATGGTGACAAACACTGTGTTACGACGGGTACCTTTTAATTAGATTTTCTGTGAGCATTTTTATGAGGCTGTTTATTGTTGTTCCCGGTTATTTCTCTCATTTTATGTTGAAATTGTTTAGAGATATATTTTCAGATACCCCAGCAGGAAAATATGAAAATTGTGTTACTGTAAGGAAGGGTTGATTTTTTGTGTAAATTTTACAGCCACACGTTCGTGCAAACTTACTCTTACCGAGATCTACAACTGGCATTGTATTTAAGATTATTTATTTTGTATCCAGAATTTCTATCGAATATTTAAAACACGGTCACACAGCCACATGCTCTGTAGGGTCTGTTCCTTTG